TTTGAACTAAATGTTTCACATTGTGTTTGGTCAACCTGTAGTTGACCACATCTTTGTCCTTAGGTTTTTATGGATAGTTGTATCAATTATAGCAATCACCTGACATCTCCAACGACGTAGGGCGTGGATTAGAACAGGAATGACCTGAACATGTATTCACTTGTTAAAACATTCTCAATTTACAATTGTAATATCAGTCATGGATGTGTATTTAAGTCCTTTGTAGCAAAAACCAGGTATACATCTGAAATTTTCAATCTGCAGATGCGTATACGTCAAAGTATATGATACGGTTGATACGTCTTTAAATGACCGACCTCTATTTGAAAGAGGGTAAGAGTGCAAACAGAAAAGGATGAAACCATATTTGCAACCAATTGTTCTGAAAGCACTTGTCAAGTTGTGTCGGAATTTCCCGTGGTCTGTTTCACTTTTTTGTTTTTTACTTTTGTTTTAGCCATGGTAGTTTATCCCTTTTAAAACGTTGCAAAACGTCTTCATATGTTAATGCGCTTGCCTTGAGGTCGGTTACAGCCTAAGGTGGCCCTGTTAATGCGCTTGCCTTGAGGTCGGTTACAGCCTAAGGTGGCCCTGTTAATGCGCTTGCCTTGAGGTCGGTTACAGCCTAAGGTGGCCCTGTTAATGCGCTTGCCTTGAGGTCGGTTACAGACTAAGGTAGCCCTGTTAATGCGCTTGCCTTGAGGTCGGTTACAGCCTAAGGTGGCCCTGTTAATGCGCTTGCCTTGAGGTCGGTTACAGCCTAAGGTGGCCCTCTACGTTATTCCCTAAATGTATTATTGTCTTAGATTAGCATCTACGTCATAACATGTATAGAAGTTTCATACGATTCCGTAATTTTGATTGGCCAAGGCATTCCAAAAGTTAAATTTCATTTCCGCCGTATGCAATGTAACATCTATGACTGTACGTGCTATCCGTGTCAGTGTTAAAACAATGTATAGAAAACCAAGCGAAAGACTGTATATATAACTTGCAATGTTATGGTTGTAGTATAAAAATGTAATTTTATGAATAATGCTTGCTTCTTTTTTATATTTTTTTGGGAGGTGTTAAAGCGTTGAATGAGTGTACATTTTTAGAATGAAGCTCTTCCGCGCTTCTTAATAAATGAACGCTTTTACACCCCTATAAATTTACAAAAAGAATTCAATTGTTAAAAGACTGCGAAGTCTTTACAATAGCTACGAAGCATCTTTATGGATATTGAGCTGGAAAATCGATCGACCTTGCTGATGACTGACCGGTTATGAACTCTGGATGCCGGGATGTAGGTTATCTGCGGTCAAACAGGAAAGGCCAGTGGCCGAGTGACCAGGTTGTATTTTATAATAATGTGCATTGAATCGTACGAAAAGCGCAATTCTATAAAACGGGGTTTACAACGGCTTAGTTACGCTATTGTAACGCTATTATTTGTAGATTACTTTCCAATATAACGGAAAAGCATAGTCTATTGGAATTTAAACGCTACAGATTAAATCTAATTCAAATAAGATATTTAAAAAAATTATATATTTCGAGGCATACATCAAAATGCTCCACATTGCAGCAAAGGAAAAGGGACAGTTTCCCTACAGTTACTTCACTCATACATGGGGTCAAAATTCGAAATGAATTAGCCCTGGTGTGAACTATAAATTTAAGGGAACCGACTCTGATATTTTTTATAACATTTTTTTTGTAAAAAATTGCATTGAACCAAACCAAATTAACTTATATCTGGAAGACAACGTATAGTTTTACTTCCAGTAATTTTTTTAATTTCCTTCTTATTCTTTATTCCGACAAAAGTTGATATCTCAAGATTGCAGTTCTGAGACGTTATCTATTGTACGAAAATGGTCTTTAAATCCTTATAAATACACAACAAGAATCGTTTGTAAACTTTGGATTCTAAAAAGGGCCCTCGTGTGAAATAATTTCAAAGAAAATAAGCCATACCTCTTTAGAAATTCAAGAGCTTGGCTCACCAGTGGCGATTATATATAGTGAAAAGAAGTCTTCCTTCAAAACATTTTTTTTTTGTGAAATCTTTAAAATTATACTAGTATCTTGTAGAATCAGTAAAATAAAAGTGGGCCCTTTCCCCCAAATATGTCTACCAATTACTGATTGACTATGATATATATGCGAAAAATGCGCCTCTGTTAATTGAAGACATAGATACAGGCAATATTGTGAATTAATTCATTATAAAAATAAGGAGATGTGGTATGATTGCCAATGAGACAACTATCTACCAAAGTTCAAATGAAGTGGATTTAAGCAATTATAGGCAACCGTGCGGCCTAGAATAATTAGAAAAATCCATACCGTATAGTCGGCTATGAAAGTCCTCGATATATGAAAAATATGAAACAATTCAATTGAGAAAACTAACGGTATAATTTATAACAGAACAATTTACGAAAAACAAATATGATGGACACGAACCAACGACAACCACTAAACTATGCAGGCTTCTGACTTGTAACCTGGGACAGTGGCGTAACAGAACAATAAAAGAACAACTATGCAAAACAAAATACATTTTTGTATTATTCAAAATTATCAGTCAATATTTGTTCTACAAGGATCACCAGTCCTTCACTTTTCATTTGATACATTAATAACTAAAATATATTCTACATAGATTGATATTTACACCTATGCGTAGCAACTATTTTGTTTTAAATATGTACAACTTTCCAGTATGTTCTTTTTTGACCGTGCTCAATTTGGTGGTGATACACTTTACAAGGTCTATCCAAATCATTTTGTATAAAAGAAGTCCGCTCAAACCGGTGCTAGGGGCCGTCTTAAACTTGCTGTGAGGTGAGAGTTTTTTTTTTTGCTCCGTGTTGAAGGCCTCACTGTGACTTTGAGATGAAGAACAACAATACAAGTGCTGTTCCTTTACTTTTTGTTTGTTTTTCGCTGTGAATATACTGATTTTGTGTCATGGATGGATACCCCATATCCTTTGTTTTTCTATTATAGTGCCCTTTTCATCCGTTCGTGCACTATGTTGGAGCACTATGTCTCCAACCGAGGCTTCTAGTTCGCATAGTCTATGTAAACACCAATCTCATTAGAATAAGTTGTTTCCTTTTGACCCTTTGGAAGTCGCGACACACGTGGATGCATGTAAGCACCATAACTATGTAACCGTACGGCTAGGTGAGGGACGACACTGCACACGGCACGCAGATTTGCTGTACGGCCTTCAACAACATTGAGCTAATCCCAAACCGTTTAGTAAGGTATAAAAGGACCCAGCATTATCAAATGTGAAACAATTCAAACGAGAAAATCCAAAGCCGTTCTATGATTAACCAGTTTACGAAAAACAAACACTGCAGACAGCAACAAAAGGCAACCACTGATTTACAGGCTCCTAACTTGCGACATAGATGAAGTGGCCACGTGAAACATGTTTTAGAGCGCTCAAACCTCCCTTAACCTTGGACAGTGTCAAAACAGGATAACAAAGAACAAACTGTAAAATCAGTTGGAAAGGGCTTGACTCGTCTATCAGTTGCGCACGGAGCACCAACAAAAACCAAAAAGAAAAAGACAACAGCTTTAAAAGTATTAATCAAGATTCACGGAAAGTTAGTTCAAAGCCGAGTAATAAATATCAAACATGCTTTCCCAGACTAAAATATCAAACAGTACACATTCAACGGATTTAACGTAAATACGTTATTTATATATAAGCAGTCTGGGGAAAGACCATGTCCAATACCGAAACAGAAATTTCGATGGTATATAGGATCGGCCCATAACTGCTCATAATTGTATAGCAATCAAATTTTATTAATCCGTTATGTCTGGGAACAGTATATCTATGTCAATATATATGTTCCTGGTTATGTATATATTAACAACAAAAGTCGGACTGGATTGGTCAATTTAAAGTTGGTCATTTTAAAGACAAGAATTCGATTAAGAAACTGAAAATCAAAGTAATTGTCGTCGACCTCAGATGAAAATTTACACACGACTAAAGAAAATTATAAAAAATTAAGTAGTCAAGTCTGCTACTCAAGACGTGAGAAAAAAAAAATAAGAATATTATCATCATCCAGTTTGTTTTCTTTTTAGAAATTATGTTTTGAGATGATATATTTTTGTTGCCAAATTCATGATTTTGTGCAAATATAGGAGGAATCCATACCTTAGTCTGTAATTTTTTCATTGACATATACATGTTCCTTCATCTAAACAAAAGTTTTTCATCTTTCTCATAAGCAAGCAACTTACGCAACAATGTTTTATTAAATCTATTTCAACTACTCTAAAAAAAAAAATCAGGATATTTTAGTGTTTTTGTCTCTTTTTCAATAAATTCTTTAAGTCATGACTACGAATTTTAAGCGCATTTCAAGTTTGTTGCGCTGGTACACTAATAATTACAAATTTAACTAGTGTATACAAGTTAAAACTATAATTTGATCCAAAACACACTGCACAGTTATTGAAAATAGTCATATTTCCCCTAAAAAAACCGTATTTTATGCACTACTTTGTGAAAATATTCTGTTAAAATTTGAAGAAAAAAAAAACCACTTGACAGTAAGAGGCATATCGACTTTCAACAGATAATGATAGAAGTTTGATGCACATTTAATTACATTGCTGGTATTCTGAGGATTGTATATATATTGACAGATAGTAGTAAGGACCTTCAGATGACCAGACAAACGGCCCACGCCACGGTGAAACCTATATCATGCATTTTTATTTATTCAACTTTGACAACTACCTCTAGAACTCCGATTTCGTTATACTTCATTATAACGTGACAGATTATATGTAGATGTATAATAACTGTTTTCCGTGTTTACGATTCAGATAGGTTTGATCTGGGATCATTATAATAAATATATATATTATGTCTCAGGTTGATCAAGATATATATCATTTTTTTCGAGATCAAATGCTTGAACTGTTACCAATAGTAACCTAAAATGTTGTCGTTAATTACCTCCCTTCTATTTTAGAGATTAGAGGACGTTCACACATGTGCTTTCTATCAGGCCTGCAATACATTCGGTGAAGATTTCGGTGAAATAGCGTAAAAGGTCGAACATTAGGTTAAAATGCTGGTAAAAGGAAAAATCAGTCACGACACATAATCCTCTGAGACATAATCTTAAAACGTTAATATTATAAACTAAAAAATATACCTATATTTAGTCCAAATAATTATGACGTCTTGAAAGGCTATTATATTTTTTTTCTTTGACGCCTTACATCGACGTCGATGTAAGGCGTCAAAGAAAAAAAACATAATAGCCTTTCAAGACGTCATAATTATTTGGACTAACCTATATTCTACTTTCGGTTTCAGTCTACTTGTAACAATTAATTTGATCCCCCCTGTAAAATGATCCGGGGGATAAAATGTCTTGGAATATTTTATCCTCTAAGATAGAAAATTGCAACAAATTATATCCCCAACACTAAAAAAATATCCACAATGATGGATATTATTTTAGTGTTGTGGGATATAAAATGTTGCAATTTTCTATCCTAGAGGATAAAATATTCAAAGACATTTTATCTCCCGGATCATTTTACGAAAAAATTAAAAACAGTCCTTAGTAGGAAATCTTGGAAATATCTGGTTAAGAATAACCCAGTTAATGCTTGGAAAATTCTGTCCTCGAAATAAAACAATATTCACTATAAATTATATTATTTTTTTGAATAATTGTTCAACAATAACACAAATACAAAAGAAATATATATTACATTCACAAATTTATGTTACAAACAACATATTTTCAATGCATTTTTCCATTTCATCTGTTAATGTGCAAAATATTCAAAAATACTAGATTGACGTTTCTTATCTCTACACTTTCTTTTCGGACGCTTATTTTGGGTTTCATCTTCTTGATCATTTTGCTCTTGAATATACTGTTCAATGATTTCAATTTCATCCTCTGTATTTATCTTTAAAAGTGGACTGTGTTAGGAACAAGGATCCATCGATAACATCACAGTTATTATTGTTCATATCCGAATTCTGATCTTGGTTTTCATTATTGTTTGATTCATAACTTTTATCTAAATCATGATGATCAACAACAGATTGTGTTTTATTGGGTTCAAAATGTATTTCAGCTGATACTGTCTGAGTATTGTCATTGGGAGAATAATATTTCTTAATGTTCATCTGTTTGAATGTGCCTATAACATCATCACTTGATACACATTTAATCCTGTATGTGCCCTTTTTTACTTACTTACTTATAGTTACTTATAGTTGATTTCCAGTACAGGATCCCTCAAGGTTCCTCTTCACCAGACTCATAATTTAATGTTTTTCTATTACTGTTTTGTCCGTGACTTCCGGATATTTCTGCTCTGTAGTCATTATAGTATATCTCTTCGTCTGACCAAAATTTGTCTAATCGGTTTTTAAATGCATTTATTGATGGTGACTTTGTTATTTTATCTGGTAATTTGTTCCAGGTTTTAGCAATTCTAACAGAGAAAGAGTGTTTACGGATATTTGTTTTGAATCTTTGATGAATGACTTTATTACTGTTGGTCCTGCTACTGAATCTTTGTTGAGAATCGTCTGCCGTTCTTAAAAATGAGCTTACTTCTTTGTCGTAGTATCCATTCATTGTTTTGAAGGTTTCAATCATATCCCCTCTTATTCTCCTATACGATAATGTTGGTAAGCCTAGTTTTTTAAGTCGCTCTGGGTAGCTCATGTCTTTGAGACCTGGTAATTGTTTTGTACCCTTCTTTGGACACCTTCTATTTTGTCGATATCTTTTTTCCTGTATGGGGACCAGACTGAGCTGGCATAATCTAGGTGGGTTCTAACCATGGTTTTGTATAATGGCATGAATGTCTCAATTCCCAAGTACTTAAATGTTCTTCTAAGAAGTGCAAATATGGAGTTGGCCTTGTTCACTTTTTCACTTATGTGATTTTCAAAGGTGAGTTCTGAGTCAATAAGGACTCCTATATCTTTTTCCTCTTTAACCTGTGCTATTGGATGTTTTAGAAGACTATAATTTGATGGTTGGTCAGTGCTATTAGATTTCTTGCATATTTTCATATATTTACATTTTTCCGGGTGAAATTTGAGTAGCCATTTGTCACTCCAGGATTCCATCTTGTTAAGGTCTTCTTGTAGAATTTGTCTGTCTTTCTGGGTTTTTATTATTCTAAAGATCTTGGTATCATCCGCAAATAGGTATGCATCAGAATCCACTTGGTCTGGAAGATCATTTATATATAGTACAAATAGTAATGGTCCTAGTACTGATCCTTGGGGGTATCCCAGATGTAACGTTAGCCCAGTCTGATTCTTCACCATTCACTATGACCTTTTGTTTCCTATCTTCTAAGAAGCTTGTTATCCACCCTACTATATCTTCATTGACACCTAGATTTTTTATTTTGGCTATTAATCTTTTATGAGGTACCTTATCAAAGGCCTTCATAAAATCAGTATATATGCAGTCTATGTCTAAACCTTGATCTAATGCCTCTATCCACTTATCAATCACTTCTAATAATTGAAGACCAGTTGACCTCCCTGCAATAAATCCGTATTGCTTTTTAGAGAATAAGTTGTTCTTTTTCATATGCTCTATAATAAATTCACGCAATATCTTCTCCATTATTTTGCATACTACAGATGTCAAACTGACTGGTCTATAATTTTTGGCTAGTGACTTATTACCCTTTTTAAATATAGCACTTATCATAGCATTTTTCCAATCGTTAGGTACTGTCTTACTTTCAAGTGATTGATTATATATTATACATAAAGGATTTGCCAATGATTCAGCGATCTCTTTTAGCAGCCTAGGGTGTAGTTTGTCCATACCTGGAGATTTATCTATTTTTAATGCTTTTAAGTGTTTCAGCACTACTTCTTCCTTTATTTTCTGATTTGACATTTCATTAGTTACTAATACCGGCGTTGGTGATGGCACTACTCCGTCAGGTTCCTTGGTGAATACGCTGGAAAAGTATTCTACTAGTAATTTGGCCTTCTTGCTATTATCCTCCGTTTTATCTGATTTTGTGTCTTCTGGATCCAGGTGTAAATCCCCAATTCCTTCTTTGGTTTTAGTTTTTGACTTGATATAACTCCAGATAGCTTTTGGGTTTTCTTTAGCTTTTTCAGACAGATTTTTCTTCAACTTATTTACTCTACTTTTTACTTGATTCCTTATCTTATTGTATTCTTTCCTCACATCTGGGTCGTTATTATGCGTTATCTTTTTTGAGAGGATGTTTTTCCTTTTAATTTTATCTATGGTGTTTTTATCCATTGGAAAATTGTTTTTCCCTCTACCGATTTGTTTCCTTTCTTTTGTTGGTATATATTTTTTGTCCATATCTTGAATTATACTTAAAACTGATCTCCAGTTTTCCTTTATATCATTTTCTTTCTGTAGTAATTCTGACCATTGAATGTTATCTAGTTCTTCTTTTATTTTTATGTAGTTTCCTCTATTAAATAATTTAATTATTTTTGGTTTACTTTTAATATTTGTATAGCAACTAAAGTCAAATTTCATAGTGCAGTGATCGCTTTTTCCCAGTGGACTTTGGTATTCTAAATTCGAGATCATATTTTCCTCATTTGTTAAAATCAGGTCTAGGGTATGGGGTGTATTGGTACCCCTCCATCGTGTTGGTCTTGTAACATGTTGAAATAAGAAGTTTTCTTGTAGATTCTCTAAAAATTTGTATTCATTACTTTCTTTACTTTCACCTGGTGAATTCCAACTGTCCCAGTTTATTTCAGGAAAATTATAATCTCCCATTAATAGGATATGTGGGTAGCCTTTACTACAAGCTTCAGTGGTAAGCGTATTTAATTGTTTAGTGTATTCCTGTGATCTGTTTGATGGTGTTCTATATATTAGGCCTAATAATAACTGGTCTGACTGGTTTAAATTAATCTTAATAAATAAGTTTTCGTGGAATTCTGTATTCATTTGGACCTGACTTTTTACAACTTTATCAATTTTGTATGGCCCCAACCAATTTTGTTTTTCCATTCCTTTCTTTCCCTTCTTATTTTTCACCAGTACATTATCATTTTCTTTAAACTCATTTTCATGAATATTATGTCTATTGTCAAAATGCAACTTCTGTCTTTTTTGTGCTTGATCGATATTTTCCATGACTTCCTCCGAAATCAACTTCTGAATTTCTTGTAATTTTATAGCACAATCTTCAATTTGACCTTGGTTTAATTCTTCATATGACTGAAAAGTGTTAACAGTATTACCTATAGATTGTTCATTTGGTAATATCGGATTTCGCCAATACATTAAATAGAAAGGTGAGAAATTAGTAGATGAATGTTTGGAAGTGTTGTAAGAAAACAAACATTTTGGCAGAAAACGTTCCCAAAGATTAGTTTCCTCTTTTACGGTTTTGTTCAACATGTTTTTAAGAGTCTGATTATACCTTTCACATTTGCCATTTGCCTGTGGATTATAAGGGGTTATTTTAATATGTGTGTATCCATACATGTCATATATCACACCAGATAACTTGGAATTAAATTCACCACCATTATCGCTAGTCATTTCCAGTGGTACTCCATGGCGACAAAATAAAGTATACAAGTTTTCAGCTATTTCACTTGCGTTTTTGGTATAGAGAGGAAATGCTTCTGTATAATTTGAAAAAAAGTCTATGACGGTTAATACATATTTGTATCCTGCATCGGAAAGAGGTTTTCCAGTTTTGTCATTATATGGGCCGATTAAGTCAATGGCAATTTTTTCCATGTTGAGGGAGGAACGGGTATTGATGTCATTTCTGGTTTTGTTGTTTTCTGTTTTTTATTACTTGTTTGACACTGTTCACAAGTTTTTATGAAGCTTTTCACATCTTTTATTATACCTTTCCAGTAATAACGTTCTTGTATTTTCACCACAGTTTTGTCGACTCCAAGGTGGGACCACTATTTATGTGACATTCTGATATAATTCGAAATTTTTCGTCTGATGGGATTACCAATCTCAAATTTTGATCATCTGCTGCTACACATTTGCCTGAAAATAATATGAAAGATTATTTTAACTTTTGTATAAATATAAATTTATATAATTTTTTTAATAAAAATCAACATAGGATAAGTATTAAAAGAGAGACAACTGTAATCTAATAACTGGAAACAAAATCAAACGCACCTTTTTGTTCTGAACATACATGTTATCCCCGAAGAAAATTGTCCTTTAATTAGTGAATACTATTTATGATAAGATTTATTCCAGTTAGGATAAAATATCACTGACATTTTATCTCTGTATACTACATGTATTATAACCTGCGGATATTATTTATGGGATAGTTCTATTTTATCTACATCTTCTGATCCATGATCGATATTTGATTATTTTTGGGTTTAAAATCTCTTTTATTTAATTCAAAACATATTTCAAAACAAACACTGTTAATTATTGATGATTATACAAATATAAATATAAAACTTACCTTCATTAATTCTGTAGTACAGCTTATTTTCTTTAATTATGAAGCTTTGGGCACGTTTTCGTAATGCTCGTTTCTCATTTAAAGAGCTGTTTTCGGAGTATTATTTATTCAGCAGATATTTGTACAAAACGTTATACTCCTCTCCATCCATCTTGACATAAATGATTATCTATTATCATTTTACTTGTTCCTTTAAAGCAATGTGCCATTTGTTAAAACACTTCATTGATCAAGATGCAGTAGGATAGTATTTACATGATATTGTATCCCATCGGATATAATTTTACTGAAATATAATCCCAAATGGATATAATTTTGTAGAAATATTATCCCTAGAAATAATAAATTTCTTGGTAATATTATCCCATGGGAAATTATTTTACTACTCACTTTTATCCTTAGGATATTATATCTACATTGATTTTATCCTTCGTAGCGGATAAATTTTTTTAGAGTGGGACAAATCTTAAAGGTAAAAAATTTCATTATTGACTTATATTTCATCTGTAGGGATAGTTTTTACTTAATATATTGTCCCTTGGGAACTTACATTCTAAGGATAATATTTAAGTTTACATGGGCACGTTTTCGTAATGCTCGTTTCCCATTTAAAGAGCTGTTTTCGGAGTATTCTTTATTCAGCAGATATTTGTACAAAACGTTATACTCCTCTCCATCCATCTTGACATAAATGATTATCTATTATCATTTTACTTGTTCCTTTAAAGCAATGTGCCATTTGTTAAAACACTTCATTGATCAAGATGCAGTAGGATAGTATTTACATGATATTGTATCCCATCGGATATAATTTTACTGAAATATTATCCCAAATGGATATAATTTTGTAGAAATATTATCCCTAGAAATAATAAATTTCTTGGTAATATTATCCCATGGGAAATTATTTTACTACTCACTTTTATCCTTAGGATATTATATCTACATTGATTTTATCCTTCGTAGCGGATAAAATTTTTTAGAGTGGGACAAATTTTAAAGGTAAAAAATATCCATTATTGACTTATATTTCATCTGTAGGGATAGTTTTTACTTAATATATTGTCCCTTGGGAACTTATATTCTAAGGATAATATTTAAGTTTACATGGGCACGTTTTCGTAATGCTCGTTTCTCATTTAAAGAGCTGTTTTCGGAGTATTCTTTATTCAGCAGATATTTGTACAAAACGTTATACTCCTCTCCATCCATCTTGACATAAATGATTATCTATTATCATTTTACTTGTTCCTTTAAAGCAATGTGCCATTTGTTAAAACACTTCATTGATCAAGATGCAGTAGGATAGTATTTACATGATATTGTATCCCATCGGATATAATTTTACTGAAGTATTATCCCATCGGATATAATTTTACTGAAATATTATCCCAAATGGATATAATTTTGTAGAAATATTATCCCTAGAAATAATAAATTTCTTGGTAATATTATCCCATGGGAAATTATTTTACTACTCACTTTTATCCTCAGGATATTATATCTACATTGATTTTATCCTTCGTAGCGGATAAAATTTTTTAGAGTGGGACAAATTTTAAAGGTAAAACATATCCATTATTGACTTATATTTCATCTGTAGGGATAGTTTTTACTTAATATATTGTCCCTTGGGAACTTATATTCTAAGGATAATATTTAAGTTTACATACTAACTGTTTTATATAACTCATCTGGGACCTGCTATAACCTCACAAAAGGACGGGCAGGGAGATAGTTTTATGCACTAGTAAGACCAATATTAATTTATAACAGTGAAGTATGGTTCATTGACAACTAAATTTAACATTTTATAAAGCTTCAATAAAAAAAAAGTTCATACTGAGCCTTACTTTAAGGGTCTGGCTTTCTGTATTCTTTAATTTCTTATGCCATTTATCTCGATTGTTTATACTTTTTGTCCATTATTCTCTATTCTTTATATTTTGGCACCTCATTTTTTTGGTTTTCGATCTTTAATAAACAATGCATGATCTACAATTAATTTACTTGGTTTTAAGGATGCATCTAGGTGACTATATATATGAGTCAGTTTCTCAATAAGATTGAGGTTACTGTAATTACATCTGTCATAATTGTTTATATCTAGTTCTATTAACACCCATAGGCGGATCCAGGGGCCCTTTCGTGGGAAAAATTTGGTTGATTATATAGGGAATCACTGAAGCATGACTGGTCTTAGCGGGCCCCACCTTAGGTCAGTCAGCGGGCCAACCCTTATGAAAAGTTCTGGATCCGCCACTGACACCAAAGAACCGCACATTATCTTTTTCAATTTCTTACACATGCATTTTACTGTTAAAGAAAGTCATTTAATTATGTAAAATGCAAATTCGTGGAGAATGAATTTGTCTTCAATCATATGTAATATATATTTATCATGCAATCATGTAAAATAGATATGCAATCGTAAGTTTAATTCCTTTTTTATTAAAAAAAGTGATCTAATTTATGTAAAATGCAACTTCTTGTTGAATAGATTTGTCTGCAATCATATATAATACACATTTATCATGTAAAATAGATATGCAATCATAAGTTTATTTTTTTTTTGTTAAAAAAAGTAAAGTGCAAATTCTTGTTGAATAAATTTGTCTGCAATCATATATAATATACATTTATCATGCAATCATGTAAAATTGATATGCAATCATAAGTTTAATTCCTTTTTCTAGGAAATAAGACTACATAGATGTATTTCTGAATTATTTATCTTTACTTACAGGGGATGAGCAATGAAGATTTAATGATTAAGGGGAGACACCTTAACTTTCAACGGATTACAGGTACTTACAAGTGTTACCATGTACTCTAGACAATATAAGTGTTGCTTCTATTAATCTTTTATGTCTCTGCCAAGGGAGACAAATTCATCACCTGTTTTACTGCTGATTTCATACATTTTTAAGTGTCTATTTGAAAAAGAGGTGTAAAAGCATGAGGTAAGGGAGACAACCTCAGAGTTTTTAAAAAATAGTGTTATTGGTGTGTCTCTTTACAAAACTAAACTCAAACAAACTCTATCTTTCTAGTTTAAATGATGATTAAATGATTATTACAACTTAGTAATATGTGTTGATTATTTATTTATAATTATCCCCCATGCGAAATGGTAATGGTTTCTGTCCGTCCATCTTTGCCTGAGCCCTTAGCCCTGAGTCCGAAGCACATCAATACTCAGTCAGACTTTTTTACATAAAGTTTTCATACTTTGTAGGATTGTTAAATGTCATATTCTCTTCACCCTGCTATTGCTATATCGGCAGTTTGATTAGACAATTTTTACAGGAGTTATGGGACTTTGACCATTTTTTTTTGTATTGTGACAATAACATCTTGTGAACACAACTCTTCTGAGTCTATTTTACAGAAAGTTCTCATACTTGGTAGGATTGTTTGCCATCATGTGTAGTAGACCATATTGTAGCCCCATTTTGATTTGACCATTTATACAGGTGTTATGGGACTTTAACTTTTTTTTGGAATACTGTGACAATAACACCTTCTATCTATATGCAACTGGCCATTGACTGATAATTAAGAGTATAAGATACAGTAGCAGGGGCAGCTAATGATTCATCCAAATTTCACACATTGTTTTGACCATGCCACAAACAATATGCCTCCAAAGTTACCAAAAAATAAACAGATGGTAACAAATCAGATGCGTGAATTCGAAAGAACTATAGGAAAACAGAGATGCTGTTTATGGATTAGCATGTGAAATCTACTGTGGGACATAAAGCTTGATTTTGAATAAACAACTGGTTACTTTTTTTTCACCATAATAATCAATTAATGTCAGAGTTTCTTATTTTATTTTGGTTTTAAGGCAGGAAAGTGGCATTAATAAAAGACTGCTTTTTTTCTTGCCAAAAGCTGACATCCTAAGCATTAAAAATGAGGTTTTCTGATTTAAGTGAGAAAAAAAACATGCAAGCACATGTACCCTGTTTTTTCTTTTGCAATTGATTGTGTACTGTTTTGAGAATGCGCCGTCATATTTGCAAGATGGCAAGAAAATTTCAATGATAATTTTTTTTACTGCATGCATTTCTATTGGCAATCTGCAACTTTTTGTCACTGATAATTACTGGTACCGTACATCATTTTACAACAATTTTTTTGTCCTGCCTACGACGAAAGAAGAAGAATGCGAGACATAGAGATTATCCGGCAGTGGCAACGGCTTAAACTATTTGTTAAAAGCTTTATATTTCAGAATGTAAAAGAACTGGATGCTTCATACCTTGTATCCAGATACCTTATGTTAGGAAGTTTCCGTCTGTCATATGTCCATTGTCCTTGACCTCATTTTCATGGTTCAGCAACTTCTTGAAAAAAATTTGTTTTTTTTTGTCATGTGAACTTCTCACTTATTATGGGTATTTTAAAGCATTATATTTCAGAAGGTAGAAGACCTGGATGCTTCATACCTTATGTGCAGATACCTTTTGTTAAGAAGTTTCCGTCTGTCATATGTCCATTTTTTTGGTAAAGGGAAATACTCACTTACTATGAGTAAAAGGATAACTATATGGTGCCTTCCAAGGTCTATATGTCCGTCAGACATGGTTCACCCAACCTCAACCTCATTTCATGGATCAGTGATCAAGGTTAAGTTTACATGGTCAAGTCCATATCTCGGATACTATAAGCAATAGTTCAACTATATTTGGTGCATGGAATGATTATAATGTGTACATGTCTGACTGGCAGGGTTCATCTGACCTTGACATCATTTTCATGGTTCATTGGTTAATGTTAAGTTTTCAAGGTTATGTTTGTTTTTCAGATACTATAAGCAATAGGTCAACTATATTTGGTGTATGGAATGATTGCTTGGTATATATATTGTCTGGCATGGTTCATCTGACTTTGACCTCAATTTCATGATTCATTGGCCAATGTTTAATTTTAGTAATTATCTCTGTTTCGCAGATACATAAGCAATAGGCTAACTATATTTTTGTGTATGGTATGATTACAAGTTTGTCTGGCAGGTTTCATCTGACCTTGACCTCATTTACATTAAACATTGATAATGTTAATTTCATTTGAAACTTTTAGTAAAAGCTTCATATTACACTTCAGTCATGATAAGTAAAGCAGTTTTGCCTCTGTTTGTTCATCCATCCATCCGTCAGTCCGTCCGTCTGTCCCAGCAATATATTTCGTTGCATCTTTCTCAGGAACTACATTACAAGGATTTCTGAAATTTGGTTTCAGGGTTTATATAAGTCAGCTATAACGTGTGATGCGTTTTCAGATTCATCACTCAAGTATTTGGGCAGGGTATCATCAGTGAGCAGTAGCTCACAGTTTCACTTGTTAATCTTGCATTTTTGTTCATTCTTCAAAAATTGCAATGATAAATGCATGCAATAATTTCAGAACTTACAGTATATCATTTTCTTTGAGTTTTGTAAATATAAATCTATACCTCTTTCTCTATCCTAATTTCTTTATATAATTTTGCAGATACAAGAACCATGTAGAATTTTGCCATTGTTTAAGGAAAGCAACCTCACTATCTTTAGAACTGATCACTAACAATGGAACTTTACCAGATATAGTTAAGTCTTTATAAATGACAAGTCTTCCAACAATAGAACTTTGGTTCCACATGATCTAGGGGAGACAACTTCACCATCACTAGAACTGTTCTGTCTACCTAAAAGTCCTGTCATTTGTATCCCTCAGGCTTACCATGTAGTACTACCATGTTCAGTACCATGTAAGTATATGCATAACCAAGATTTATTGACACATGATCAAGGAGAGACAACTATCAACAGAACTGCTTTATTAAACATATAATATCAGCCCATCATGCTGTGCTATACAGTATACAGGGTGGACAATCTCTTCAAGAGCATACAATATAGTTTTAATCCAACAGTAATTTTTTGATAAAACTTGCATGCAAGATATTTTTGTCACCCACGCGACGCGTTGCGGGGGACATAGAAGTACTGTGCATCCGTTTGTTCGAGCTTGCTAACATAGCCCTCTCACATGTACAATTCTTGCCAGATATTTATGAAACGTATATCATCGCTAATAATATCAGCAATGTCTCGGAAGAGTTCGAAAATCAGTGCTGATTAACTATTTTATAAGAGTAATGCCCTTGGAAACATTAATTATATGGAAAATTTCATCGTAAGCGCTCTCATTTGTACAATTCTTACCCGTTTTTTTTATAAAATTTATATCATAGGGTTATATCAGCAATGTCTCTGACAAGTAAGAAAATCATACCATATCAATTATTTTTAACGAGTTATGCCCCTTGGAAATATTAATTATACTGGAAATTGCATTGCATTTGCTCTCAGTCTTCATTTCTGTAAGATATTTATAAAAAGATTTAAAGAACCAAAAAAATAAGTATTTTTTTTAGTTATCGCCCTTGGACCTTGGACAGTAAAAATATGTGCAACGCGGAGAACATTGGAACTCTGTTCTTTTATTCAACTAGTCAATTCAAATGTCTAATAAAAAATATACCTTCATTTACCATTTTTAGAGATAAATGAGGTCGAAATTATAGACATTTTCTTAAAATTTCAGTTTCATGAACATTTCTATCTTTTGAACAGACATACCTAACTTTTTTGTTTCAAAAGATAATATCTTCTTTACATTTAATTATGCTATAAATGTGCATGTGCAACAACTCTTTAGAAATAATTCATTTTTGTTAAATTTTCATGATTTTTAGAAAAAAACCAGCATTTTTTGCTGTATATTTATCTACATTTTGTAATTTGAAAAAGATTCATCAGTGATTTTTTTCCAAAAAAATTAGTACAAATAATCTTTATACATAATCAAGACAAATGCCATTTTAAAAAAGAGGGGTCCTTGTACTCGTTTTTCAAGATAATGATTAAAATCCATCAGAAAATGCATCTTTTTCTGATATGTCACAGTTTGACGTCGCAAAAAATAACATTTTACATATGGCGACATCATGCATTACCTTCCTTGTAACTGTATCGTATGCCCTTAACTTTATGAACAGTATGGAGATATGGTATGATTGTCAATGAGACAATTGTGAGTTCGAATCCCACACATGGCAGGTGTGCTAGACTCCATTCTTAATTGACAAGGATTGTCAGATTTCCTACCAAAAGTTGGTGGTTCTCTGTGGGCACTCCTGCTTCCTCCACCAATAACAACTGACCACCACGAAATAGCACAACAGTGCTGAAAGTGACATTAACCACAAACCATTCAATCAATCAATGAGACAACTATCCTGACATGACAACATGTGAAACAATTTAAACAAGAAAAATAAGGGCTTGTTAAATGCTAAAACCATAAGCACTTAACAAATATGACATTAACAGCACCCAATGACAACTTACCTGTTCCTGACTTGGGACAGGCACATTATTAATGTGGCTGGGTTAAAAATGTTTGTGAGCACTCAAGCATCCCTTTACCAGGGACAACTCTTTTAGCCCTCAATCCACATTTAGGTTAATGTTGTCTGGCGTAGTTCATCTGACCTTGACCTCATTTTCATGGTTCATTGCCCTATGTTTAATTTTTGTAATTAGCTCTGTTTCTCAGATACATAAGCAATAGGTTAACTATATTTGGTGTATGGACTTTACATGTTTGTCTGGCATATTTGTATATGCATAACCAAGATTTATTGACACATGATCTAGGAGAGACAACTATCAACAGAACTGCTTTATTGAATACATAATGTAATTCCATCATGGTTGTGCTTTGTTGATCCCATTGTGATTTTTTTTATATGAAAATTTGCTTACAAGCTATTTTTTACCTAGTCAATTCAAATATGTAATAAAAAATATACCTCTATGTACATGTACTACTTTAAGAGATGTCCATGAGGTCAAAATTTACTCATTGTGACACATGTAGTGTTAATCTAAACAAACACCATACAATGGGCAGAGGGTATTTTACTGCTAAGAGATGGGAAGTTGCCAATTTGAAAGTTGAAAAGCATATTTAAATTTGTTTTGCAGAAATTGTGGCCCATTGAGGGTGATTGAATATTGCTAAGAAATACCAATTCTCATCATTTGTTTGATTTACCAGGTGTCTTTGGCCATGTTGTTAAATTATATGTTCCTCTTCTGTTCTCATTGTGTTATTAATTATAAGTCATGGCTATAATTTAAAAAAATTCTTCTACGGAACAACTGAAATCAATTTCATCCAATGGCAAGCTTAAATTTGTTTAAATCATCCTTGTATACAGTATATAGTTTGCGTTTTATTTGCTTCAATCATTAACTAGAAACTAACATGACCAACATAGGTAAAATAAATGTAATTGTCAGATGTCTTAAAAACCAAAATAAACAGAGAAAAACCAATTGTTCTCTGCTTTGTATCTATCTGATGAGTTCAGCCATTTTCAATTGATTTTTATATCTTATGTTGTGCTGTAACACCACTGTCCCAGGTTAGGGGGTCGGGGGTGGGGGTTGAGCACTTACAAACATGTTTCACCCTGCCACATTCTTTATGTTCAGTGGTTCTCGTTGGTTCATGTCTGTCATATTTTGTTTTTCGTAAATTGTTTTGTTATAAATTAGGCCGTTAGTTTTCTCAGTTGAATTGTTTCATATTTTTCATGGCGGGGCCTTTTATAGCTGACTATATGGTATGGGTTTTTCTCATTGTTGAAGGCTGTACGGTTGCCCATAATTGCTTACATCCACCTCATTTGAACTTTAGTGGATAGTTGTCTCATTGGCAATCATATACCACATCTCCTTGTTTTTATATGGTGTAGAGTTGTCTCATTGGCAATTTGAATATCACATCTTCTTATTTTTATCGTTGAAAATGCTCAAGATGTCAAGATATCATCTGCTTCCATTTCTATCAATATAAGAATTGCCTTTAAATTACATTTTCTGACTTAATTTTGCAAGAATGAATAGAAGTTACTTCCCTTTGTATTCTTGTCTTTTATTTTTGTTTAAGTACTTTGTCTATAGAGTGTCTATTTGTTTTTCTTTGTTGAAATAGTTATTTGTTCTTATAGTGATTAAGATAATATTACATGTGTTATATGAGTGACTGTTGTACCCCAATTTTTGACATTTTTACCTATTATGTCTTTGTTTTGCTCACACATTGTTTTCAATATAATGGAATTCTATCACTGTCATACAAGTGAGAGGTTTAGCTAGCTATAAAACCAGATTTAATCCACCATTTTCTACATAAGGAAATGCCTGTACCAAGTCAGGAATATGACAGTTGTTTTCCATTCGTTTGATGTGTTTGAGCTTTTGATTTTGCCATTTTATAAATGACTTTCCGTTTTGAATTTTCCTTGGAGTTTGGTACTTTTGTTATTTTATTTTTTTTTCTGAAAATGATGTTACCAATTTAGATTTTGTTCTAATTATTTTTTAAGAGCAATAGGAAGACGGGAGTGTTCCATTTGAATAATGGAAAACAAGAAAAACAGTCAGAGTAATGGGGAAAATAAAATGACAACAATTTCTTAAGAAGAAGAAAACTATGTTCGTATGAGTTTGTTGCTGTCTGGGATATCCCCTCGTGCTGTACAAATTTTGTTTGATAGTGAATTTGATCCATCTTGCTTAGATGCTTCTCTTAAGAAAGCAACCAAGAAATTGAATGACCTAAAAAAGAAAAGAATAATTAACCAGTCACAGTGGGACCTTCTGTTTCCACGTGATGGTAGGTGTAGAATAATCAACCAGTCACAGTGGGACCTTCTGTTTCCACGTAATGGTAGGTCTAGAATAATCAACCAGTCACAGTGGGACCTTCTGTTTCCACGTAATGGTAGGTCTAGAATAATCAACCAGTCACAGTGGGACCTTCTGTTTCCACTTAATGGTAGGTCTAGAATAATCAACCAATCACAGTGGGACCTTCTGTTTCCATGTAATGGTAGGTCTAGAATAATCAACCAATTACATTGGGACATTCTATTTCCACGTAATGGTAGGTGTAGAATAATCAACCAATCACAGTGGGACCTTCTGTTTCCACGTAATAGTAGGTGTAGAATAATCAACCAGTCACAGTGGGACCTTCTGTTTCCACGTAATGGTAGGTCTAGAATAATCAACTAGTCACAGTGGGACCTTCTGTTTCCACGTAATGGTAGGTCTAGAATAATCAACCAGTCACAGTGGGACCTTCTGTTTCCACGTAATGGTAGGTCTAGAATAATCAACCAGTCACAGTGGGACCTTCTGTTTCCACGTAATGGTAGGTCTAGAATAATCAACCAGTCACAGTGGGACCTTCTGTTTCCACGTAATGGTAGGTCTAGAATAATCAACCAATCACAGTGGGACCTTCTGTTTCCACGTAATGGTAGGTGTAGAATAATCAACCAGTCACAGTGGGACCTTCTGTTTCCACGTAATGGTAGGTGTAGAATAATCAACCAGTCACAGTGGGACCTTCTGTTTCCACTTAATGGTAGGTCTAGAATAATCAACCAATCACAGTGGGACCTTCTGTTTCCATGTAATGGTAGGTCTAGAATAATCAACCAATCACATTGGGACATTCTGTTTCCACGTAATGGTAGGTGTAGAATAATCAACCAATCACAGTGGGACCTTCTGTTTCCACGTAATGGTAGGTGTAGAATAATCAACCAGTCACAGTGGGACCTTCTGTTTCCACGTGATGGTAGGTCTAGAATAATCAACCAGTCACAGTGGGACCTTC